AAAAAAAAAAAAAAAAAAAAGACATCTTCATAAAATTTAAATTAGTTTGTTTACATATTAAAATTTAACATTTTGTCTTAAAATTTTTTTAACCCATTTGGAAACAAAATTATTAGCATAATCATGATCTAGCATCACATAATGAAGTAGCAATATTGTTGCGAATCTCCTTCATCTAATAATAATAATAATAATAATAATAATAATAATAATAATAATAATAATAATAATAATAATAATAATAATAATAATAATATTTGCGGTGAAAGTTGCGAATAAAGGAGAAGAGAAAATGATTTTAATTGGGATGGGTAAATGATGTTATTTCTTTAAAGTAATAAGGACAAAGATGAAAAAAAATTATGAAGCTACTAGCTTATTTTGAAAGGTAGCGTTTCAAAATAAGCTCTTATTTTAAGCTACGAGCTTATTTGGGAACATTACCAAATAGAGCTTATAGCTTATTAGTAGCTTAAAATAAGCTATAAGCTCTGCCAAACAGAGCCGTACTATGAAAACATGAAAAATGTTAAACATCCCTACAATTGTCACTCACAAAATAATCACTCTATGATGTCACAAAATGTTAGACGTTGGCCTATTGGGAGTAGCCTATTAGCTTTCTTGGTTTGCGCTATTCATCTATGGACAACCAATGCTAGTTTATCTCCGTATGGTCCTTTATCGGTTGGGTCACAATGCGAGATTTACCCAATGTATACCATTGAATAGTGGTTATGGGTTTTGTTCATCACAAAAAAAAAATGTTAGAAATTATTTATTTTTTTTAATTTTAATTTTAAATTTTATGTGATATGGAGTGACGGTTTGTGAGTAATAAAAGTAAAACTGTTTAGCATGATACTAAAAAAATTGAGCGAATTTAGTCAATTTACTCTTTTTGAAAGGAAAAAAGAAATAAAAATAAAAAGGGGGCTTTTCCCAGTCATTTGTTGCAAATTATATTATGCACCGCGGTATTTTCAAAAAAAATATTATGCACCGCGGTGCATAATCGATTATGCACCGCGCGTCTTTTTTTTTTTTAAATGAAAATTAACAATGTTTGTTTCCGCCGTTTCGCACTCTTTTGCAAAAAGTAACTCTGTTATTCAGTGTCATTTTGTATACACTGCAGTTTCAGTTGAACACAACTACAGTTTCATTTCGATATAACTATAGTTTCATTCGATATTTATAGACACAAATATGTGAAAATGTTATTTAATTTTATTTTATATACACTATATTTTCATTAAAACACAACTACATGATCATTTTGATATAATTATAGCTTCATTGTACAATATACACTCAAATATGTGAAATGTTATTCAGTTTCAGTTTATATACACTGCAGTTTCATTTCACTATAACTACAGTATCATTTTGATATAACTGTAGTGTCGGTTTAGATATACTGTAGTGTTAGTTGGTGTTTAATACACCAAATAAGCGGACTCCGTTAACTCTAACGGCGGGCCGTTTCTTTACTTAAAGAAACGGTGTCGTTTTGACCGCGGTGCACATGCACCGCGGTCTATAATATAACGACTGGTCATTTGTTTGCCGCATGCCTTCAATGAAACAATCGTCGCACATAGCATTGTGCGCCCGTGTCTCCCGGCCCAAAACAACGTCGTTTTGGTAAGTTATGTAAGGAGTTAACGTGATTATGTGTATCTGTTTATACAATTATGTGTATTTTTTTTTTTTTTTTGAAAGTCAATTATGTGTATTTGTTTATATAATTATATGTATTTTTTATACAGTTATGTGCATTTATTTATACAATTATGTATATTTATTTATACAATTATGTATATTCATGTATACAATTATGTGTATTTTAGTATAAAATTATGTACATTTTTTGAACATGAGATTTTTTAAAGAAAAATTAACCGCTAACACTGGGTAGCGAAATTTCAAAAAAAAAAAAAAAAAATCTAAAACGACGTCGTTTTGCATTAGGGCGCACAATGCATTGCGCGCCCTGGTGCACGATATAAATTGCCTCAATGAAAAGTGCCAATAGTTATTGTGTGGACCACGACTCAAAAATAACATTGTTTTGTTTAATTTTATTTTTTCGCGCATCCAACTGTAACATACATATTTTATAACTTATAATATACATTGTTCTAAAATATAATGTACATTATTCTAAAGGATAATGTACATTATTTTAAAACATAATGTACATTATGTTACCCTAGATGTTTCATTATTCTAAACACGTAATATACATTATTTTTATACATAATATACATTATTTTAACACATAATGTATATTATTCTAACACATAATGTACATTATTTTTACTCGTAATATTCACGACGATGTTTTGAATGGTGTTCACACAATAATTTGCTGAAAAGTACCATATTTCATTATTTTTATACCAATGAAAAGTACCATATTTACTCTTCAATACCATATTTCATTTGTTAAAAAAAAAAATATTTCATTATTTTTTAGCTTTTGGTTACAACTTACGAGTAATAATTTATAATATTTATGGGTTATTGCGACAAAAGTTATCAAACAATTAAATTTGAAAGTACTTATTTGGTAGTATTCAAAATTTAAATTCAATAGAAATCTCGGACATCTTCACTACCATTTGGTAAAAACAATGAAGTAGGTCAATCTTACTACAAAAATTGTTCTATCAAATATAATACTACAAGGAAAGAAAATAGTAAAATATATCAATCTATTTAACAATGAATTAAATCCGGACCACATTGTGGTTTACATAAAAAAAAAAAAAACAATGAATTAAATCGTTACAACTTAAAGCAAAGCCAATGGTCAAGCTTTTTCTTGGATTTTTTTTTTTGTCAATTTAAAGTACAAGACAAGAAAGATAAAAGAAATTATTTTAAAAAAAAAAAAAAAAAAGTCAAGGTGGTCACCAACTGGCGACTCCTTTGATGTGCCCAAAGTTTATCTCACAAAGTTTTTTGTCATTGAAATTTTTACATAAACTCACATTAACTATCTCAAAAAAAAAAAAAAAAAAAAAACTCACATTAAAATAAATATTTATTTTTGTTTTCTCCTATCCTCTCTTGTCCACCAAGGTTTTGAACTATCAAAAGTTGTGCACAAACCTCTATATGGGGATATTCTTAAATACTTATGAATTTTGATTTTTTTTTTATTTTAAAAAATTTGTTGATAAATTAAATATTTACAAATTTTATTGTTAGTATTTTCTTTCTTGTAGTATATCCACAAGACCACAAGAAAACTAACACGTGTGCACGTAGAATGATTTCTTTAATTTGATTTTCATAATTGAAACATGTGTTTCACTCAATTAAAAGTTTAAACTGATAGTTGGGTTGCACATTTATCTTTATATATATTATTATATGCTAAACATTCATAACTTGGGTTTCATATTTTCTATACCCCTCCAAGTCCAAAAAGTGTTGACATATACATATACTATTTTAGCAATATAACTGGACTTGCCACTATGTTTAGAGCTTGGCAATCAGATCAAAAGGCTCAAGGGTCCACTAGCCCATCAAAACAATTTTGAGAGCCTAAGGCTATCCCCATGGAGCGTTATGCCATGGAACCGTGTTCACCATTTATGGTGAACACGGTTCCAACGGTGTTAGTACACCGTTTTTTTTTTTTTTTTTTTTTTAATTAATTGCGTGACTTTTCTTCTTCATTTTCATATTTTGGAATCATGCCTACACATTCCCATCCGAAATCACGGACATTCATAAATTATGAATTCATGCCTGCACATTTACTTTGGAATCATGCCTACACATTCCCGTCCGAAATCACGGACATTCATAAATTATGAATCCATGCTTGCACATTCACTTTGGAACCATGCCTACATATTCACTTTGGAACCATGAGATTATGAATTTTCTGTTATAAGATTATGAATTTTCTGTTATGAGATTATGAATTTTCTGTTATGAGATTATGAATTTTCTGTTATGCGATTATGAATTTTTTGCGGTTTCACTTTAATTTGAGGTGAACAATGATTTCGGACATTCATAAATTATGAATTCATGCCTGCACATTCACTTTGGAACCATGCCTACACATTCCCGTCCGAAATCACGGACATTCATAAATTATGAAAATCCATGCCTGCACATTCACTTTGGAACCATGCCTACACATTCACTTTGGAACCATGAGATTATGAATTTTCAGTTATGAGATTATGAATTTTCTGTTATGAGATTATGAATTTTCTGTTATGCGATTATGAATTTTCTGTTATGAGATTATGAATTTTATGAAAATTCATAATCTCATAAAAGAAAATTCATAATTTGATCAACGCGCGCCGTTAACTCCACATCCGCGATTTTTTTTTTTTTTTGCCTAAAAACGACGTCGTTTGGCCTTGTGTTCACCATTCACAGTGAACACGTTTCCAGGGCATAATTTGCCATCCCCATTAGAGGGATTTTTATAATTTTTTATAAAACTTTTGACACCATGGAAGAGAGAGATAAAGGGAGAGAAGATAAAATGTGTCCGGCAAATGAGGGTTTTGTAAAAATATGGGGTTCACTTTGTTAGCTTCTCTCATTCTCTCTTTTATGAGATGTGTGTTGCATAACTGTAGGGTCCACTTTGTTTTTCTTTTTTTTTTTTTTAAAAAAATCAGCTTTTATTATTATTATTTTTTCTTTCTTTTTTCTCTTCTATCACATCTTCTCTTTCCTAATCACACCTACACAAATTCCTCAAAAATCACACCAAAATCTCCACTATTGAGGATGCCCTTGGCCAATTAATCCAATTTATTTTCATAACTCTGATTTTAAATGAAATAATATGTTCTATCTTAAGTCTTAACTCTTAACTATAAGTTTAAATTATAATCAAAATACATATTTATATTTTATATATTATGTTTAATGTTTAATAACACGAATTAAATGATGATTGATTAAGATTCCAATAGCGTTGCATGCATACTGAAACAAGTAACAAAATGGAGAATTGAAGCAGCATGCATGCATGTTTTTAATGAAACAGCAGCAACGTTATTACTTATTACTCTCCCTGCAACAACAAACTTAAAGGAAGCATTGAAAACTAACACACACTCTCAGATCATTCTTAAATTAAACAGTACAATTTTTATTTCTTCTAGTTTTGGGATTCACTTCTCCAGATTAACCAATGCAAAGCCATTCCCCGACAAAAATGGAGTTGCAGTTGATGTTTGGATTGAGAGCAAGAAAGGAATCGAGTGAGAGATGAAACTTGTCTGCAATGCTAGTGCACGTGTCTCCAAACTCTTGTCCATATACCTGATTGCATTCTGCTTTTGCATCAGCTTTCCCCACTGCAACTGTCATTACAAAACATCATCAAGAAACCAAAAAGCTAAGAACCTTAAACCAACATTGAGATCGAAAGATAAATATATATAGATTACCAGCGGCCAAGAGAATAAGGAGAAAAGAGAGGGCAGACAACATGGGCGATATCTTGGCCATGATTATATTTTGATCTGTCGTCCTTTTAGGTCGTTTAGTTTTCGACTATTATTGGTTTTCGATGATTTGTGAAGAGAGAATATTTATATATAGTTTCTAGAGTACATTGGATGGACCAACAAAACACGTTGTTAAGTAAGAAAATACAAAAGATCAGAGGAGCCGGCCGGCGGCCTTGTTTAATGAATGAAGCTAAGGAAAGGAGTTTTAAGTCGATCACTTAGCCTTGTGCATGTGGAGATCCAAAACCTACATTGCAATGCCGACTTGCATGCCCTCATTAATATACTGAGATCTAGACAAAGTCTAAGATTTAAACAAATATTCTCATAATCCTATTTTAATTTATGTATTAGTTCAGTTAACTTACACATAATACACATTAACATAATACACATAACATACTACACATAAACTCTTAACAGAATTCACAAACTTTTAACATAATACACATAAAACTCTTAACAGAATTCACATAAACTTTTATCATAATACACATAAACTCTTAACTGAATACACATAAACTCATAACACAATACACAGAAATTTTCTAATCACACACTTGTAGTAGACATTTATCCTTTCATTAGTTAAAAACTTAAAACTGAAGTATTTCAGTAGTTTTGATTGCATTATGCTCACCACCGTTCAAATTTCTACAATTTGAGCGGTGCACTTTAACTACAATCATCAAAATAACTCTCTGAAGAGAGATTGGAGTGGTTGGCTCTCCCAACCACTCAAATCATTCTCCTAAACCCACCCTCAATCCCCTATAATGACGTCTAAATTAAATATATCATACATTTTGAAAATGTGTTATGCTTTAAATTACTAATTAAAAATTTAAACTAATAATAAGACTACGCGTGGACAACTTCAATTATATGATATTAATGGACCAAGGGATTAGAACTTTTTTTTTTTTTTTTTTTTTTAAGGTGACGAGGAAAATCCATAAATCATATATTGTGATCTTAGTCAGCAAAGAATCGGATCACAATAAGATAAATAAGTCTTATTTGTTCGTCCATCGACTAAAATCAAGAATGACGTATAATAGGCTGCTTCCACTGAATAGAACTCATTTTGCACCCATAAAAACTGGTAGTGTTAATTTGGCGCACTAAATCAACAGTAACAAATTAAATCAACTTATCATTTGTCTTAAATAGCACAATTAACTACCTAACACATCACATTGTATGCCATAGTAGATATAAGAATGTGCATCATATATAGTTATTTAATTTGACACAAGCTAATGACAAAATATGCACTATTAAAATTCAACATTCACAAATATAATGATGATATTTAACTTAATCTGTAACATTTACAAAAGCATGGACAAATTCGCTCATAAATATTAAATGAAATAATTCTTACACGTAAAAAATATGATATATATTTTGTCGACGATAGCACAACATTTTAATTTAGATTTTGGAGTTGTTTGATAAATAGCTGTTAGCTTAGCTGATTGGGTTAATTAGTTTGACTAGTTGATAGTATTGATTGATTGTAGAAAAGTATTTGGTAAATTAGATGTTTGGTGATAGCTTATTACATATATGTAAAATGACTTTTTCAAAAAGCTTATCGAAAAAGCTACTTTGGGCAGTTTTTTGAATTTTAACATTTTGAAGCGATAAATTATTACAAAAAACTAATTAATCAAATACTCATTGTTTAACCAAGTCAAACAGCTAATAGTGGTCAAATAATTCAAAATTAGCTGATAAACTAACTATGTTACCAAATAGGGTCATTATTATAATCATTTCCTATTTTTGAAACGCTAATGACGCACATACACTGGCCTACACCCTAACTAACATATCAATGTCCGGCTACCAGAAAAGTGATAGATGTTGTGTCTTCATCAATAAGATAAGAAATAAACTTTTCTTGTGATTCCTACACAAACATTATATAAATTTTATAGTACATTAATCGCATTCATAGTACTTGCAGACGCAATGTGTGGTCCAGTTCAATGTAGTGTACTGAGATTGGATGGATCCGCGTATGATATAATATGAGAGAGTTGGGGGGGGGGGGGGGGGGGGTGCTGAGAGTTTTGGTTCATATCGTACCAAGTCTTTAATGAATGGAAACAAATTATCATTAACTCTATTAAGATCATAGGTTTTAGATTGAATGACTTAATCTTCAAACATTTAATGATTGCTACATATATACATTTCAATTAAAAAATAAAAAAGCCTAATCTCAAACGGTAAAACTCCCATACATCACATGTGTTGATTTTGTTAATCGAATTTAAGGAAACGAAATGCCACAAGATAATTAGGGGTGTTTGGTTGGAAGTAAGGAATTAGGGGGAAAAAGAATTGTAATTCGGTGGAGAAAGAATAAGGTGGAAATAAAATAGAAATTCAAATTACAGTGTTTGGTATGCAGTAATAAGGCATGGAATTGAAAGGGAATAAGTGATACAATGGCTGAAATGCCCTTATGTAATAATAATAATAATAATAATAATAATAATAATAATAATAATAATAATTTTTGGAAATAATAATAATAATAATAATAATAATAATAATAATGATTTTTTTGGAAGTAATAATAATAATAATAATAATAATAATGATGATGATGATGATGATGATGATGATGATGATGATGATGATGATGATGATGATGAGGAGGAGGAGGAGGAGGAGGAGGAGGAGGAGGAGGAGGAGGAGAAGAAGAAGAAGAAGAAGACAGCTAACAAGACAAAAGAAGGGTGAGGGTAAAATGGTCATTAACCTATTTTTTCTTCTCCCTTCAATTCGCCGAATTGTAATTCATAGGGGAGGGGTATGAATTACAATTCAGCATTTGGAGGGAATTACAATTCGGTGGAATTGCAATTCCCTCCAACCAAACGGCGTAATTGTGAGTTGTGCTGAATTACAATTCAACTACGACTTAATTACGTCCAACCAAACAGCCCGTAGAATGTTAAAATATTAGTCTCAAGTTTGATTTGAGGTTGTTGAAGAACATAGAGCAAACCATGGAGGGGGCTGCGGGGTGTTGTATATATAAAGCTGAAGGCTTGGAGTTGATGACTGAGTGATACACCCGGGAGGTCATTGTGCTCGTTACAAAGCTAGCATAAATAGTTAATTATTATAATGCATTGAACATATCAGACATGCTTTAATTTTATTGATATTTTCAACTAAATTATACAACATTTGCTCCGTACATGCAATTACCTTTCATCAATCACCGTTCTTGTTTCTTAAACTCATTGTTCATTTATTTTCTGGTGCTAATTCAATTAAGGGATGTATTAAAAATAGTTATACATTTTTTTTAATAAAAATCAAAGTCATATCAATATAAATAAAATATATGGGAAATTAAATAAATGTAATAATACTGGTAAAATTAAACTATGAGAGCAGGTAAAAGAATTGACAAGTATATATATAACAATCATGTGGCAAAATAAGAGATATCTAGATGATGAAGAAAACATGTGTTTATAGGTACCAACTTGAACTTGCATATACATGATGCACTTTGATTAGCTTGTTGACATGCTTCAAATTTTCTTCACTATTAAATATATAGTTCAACCTCCTCTAATTTTATTTTGTGATGAAATTGGAAAAGTAGGGTTCATAATATACATTTATTTATAGCACAATGGTGCTTCATAATATTCCTATTTAAATCTCCCAATTGTACCTGTAAACACATGTTTTTATCATCATCTACTCATATTTAATTCTTTATATCTCCTCATACTTTCAAGGGTGTAGTGGACCACTATTAAATATATAGTTCAACCCCCTCTAATTTTATTTTGTGATGAAATTGGGAAAGTAGGGTTCATAATATACATTTATTTATAGCACAATGGTGCTTCATAATATTCCTATTTATATCTCCCAATGGTACCTGTAAACACATGTTTTTATCATCATCTACTCATCTTTAATTCTTTATATCTCCTCATACTTTCAAAGGGATATATATATATATATATATATATATATATATATATATATATATATATATATATATATATATATATATAGTGAAAGGTTCCCGTGCGGTTGATTAATGTGCGTGAGATTTGTACTCAATGTGCGTGAGTGTTGTGCTTAATGTGCCTGAGATTTGTACTTAATGTGCGTGAATGTGTAAAATGCAGCAGAAAATATGGGTGTCAGTTTCTTCCCCATCCCCAATAGTCATTGCCCCCTCCCCGATGATGATGATGCGGAGGCGGCTATGGTGGTTAAGAATTATGGGAATAATACAACAGAAATTCACACTTAGTTGGTTCGCAAATTTTGCCGTGCGTGCGTCATCTATATAAACATTCAACTGCACTGAAGATAGCTGATAATCCAGAATCCATGGCCAAATTGAAGGAAGAAGTAACAAGAAGCTTGGGCGTTAATGTGCGTGAGTTTTTTGTTCTGCTTCCTTCTGAGCTCGTAATTCTGAACTACTCACGCACATTAAGCACAAATCTAACGCACATTAAGCACAATATTCAGGCACATTAAGTACAAAACTCACGCATATTAATCTTACGCACATTAACTACAAATCTCAAGCATATTAAGCACAACACTCACGCACATTAGTATAAACCTCACGCACATTAATCCACCGCACAACCGCACGGGAAGCCACAAATGCACCTAATCCTTTCCCTATATATATATATATATATATATATATATATATATATATATATATATATATATATATATATATATATATATATATAAATATATAGGATCATATGAGAACACTGCTTAGGTTAGAACGTGAGAACAAATCGTGTGCATCCATCTAATATTTTTTAATAATCTTAGATTAGATTAAGTGTGTGCGAACGCAAATTAAATGTGTGCAAACGCGATTAAGCACATTTAATTCGCATTCGCACACACTTAATCTAATCTAGACCATTAAAAATATTAGATGGATGCACACGATTTGTTCTCGTGTTCTCACCTAAGCAAGTGTTCTCATTGGAACCCTACTATATATA